AGTCGCCGCGAAAGCTTCACTTTATACAAGTAGTATGTTAGCGTCAGGAAGTGACTTTCCTGTTTTTAACAATATGCTCTATTAGAATTGCCATAAGGAGTGAGGTTTAAAAAAACTTTCATTGTACAAACCATTCCCAGTCATCATGAATGCTATAGCATACTGTATGTTATGGGTATTATTCTCACAGAGTACATTTGAAAATTTTCTGGTAAATGTAACATGTTTTCTCATCCAGATTATTCTTCACACACCAATCTTATTCTTAAACATGACTTGTGTAGGTACTGTAGATACGAGCCAATTAAAAGATAATTTGGACTAAGGTACATACTTTGTTTTTTGAAAACAGATTTGTTTATGGACTGTTTGTGTTTGTACCCAAATAATAATAAGCTTCTATTCCATTGTAGATTTTCATGTAACTAAACAAGGATTGCTACATATACATTTCTCTTAATTTATGGAAGCCAGTTTATTTTATTGTACATTGTGTTAGGGTTTAATAAGTGGTGTATTTTTTGTATTTTATGATTTATGTAAATCTGTTTCCTCTACTTTTCACCACACTTCTGATTACATTTCAGCAAACAGTTTTTTTAATCAGTTGTCCATTATCACTTTATAAACCACCACAAATGGTGGCAGTAGAGTTCAGTGCATCATGTCACACAAACAAAAAGAAAGAAGTGCCTAACTGATTATCTGATTTGTCAGCAGTGTTGTTACATCCTGTTTCATGGTTTCTATCTACTTTTGTTTTTTCATTTGACCCAGAAGTGTCTATCCAACCTTTTCTTCCCCATGTAATGCAAACATTCAGTTTTCCCATGCACCACCTGAAAATTTTTAATGTATTGCAGTTTGAAAATGTTTGTATAACAGGCGCAAGAATGGAGCCATGCGAAACTGAATCTTATGTTTGGTGTTTGATTTAAGAATTGCTGTGGTTGCTGTGCAAAAAGTGTTATGAAAGGAAATTAAATTTAGCTTCTAGTTTGTAATGAAGTTTACTGTAGGTTTAAAATTAAGTAAATTTGTCCTACACAGAGGAATGTTTGGTGATTTAATGTTATTTGAATCTGACTTAACACTGGCCTTAACTTTTGTAGAGATGGAGAAACTCTCCATAACCGTAATTGTAAAGGATTATAATGATAATATATTACAGTTAGTGGAGTTCTGGACTTGGTCCATTTTCTGTTGCTCTTTCTAACTGACCAAACTAAGTAGATATTCCTTGGCTCTTCACCTGTGGAGGGAAACATCCAGTTTCTGACCCCCACCCCAGAATATAATATGGTGGACAAAGTCTATAAATCCAATCATAGTAATTATTCATAAATTTCCTATACTGTTGTTTACATCTAACAGAAGCACAAGAACATGCCAGCTGACCACAGTCTGTTTTGTGTTGTACTGTGTAACTGTAATAATACATCTTCCATCTAGTAACTTTGCATTCCCATGACATTTTTCAGGATAGCAATCCCTCCTCTAACCATAATATTTGGTTTTATATATAGGATTTGAGGTTTTCACGGTGATGAGCCTGAAGATAGCACTTTCTGCTTGCATGGCTTATTGATCGCCCTGATGATGGACCTCTGAAACAGTGGTCATCTACCAGACTGCACTGCACAACAACCCATAAGACAGCGATCTTCATTTGGTTTTATGTTTCCACAATTCCTAATTTGTGTAGGTGTGCACACCAATTGATTGAGATTTTCTGGGGGCAGGAGTGTAGTGGCATCCCAGTTTCCTGTAAGCCCTTAGTCTTGCTAGTTACAATGTTGTCAGGAACATAACGTCTGTGGCTGGCAAAGAATTGCTATGAATTGAAAGAGCATGTACAACAGTGAAGAAGCATGAAGCAATTCATTATTCTGTTTACAAAAGTTTGCTATTTAGCTGTATTCAGAACCATATGAATCCAGTCCTCATTCTCTTTGTTTCAAGTTTGATATTATTGTGTAATTCCTAGTATGTAGAATTTGAGGTTTTCATGTCGGTGAGTTTGGAGGTGGCTGTATTCTGGGTTGTTGCGCCATGTAGTCTGGTATAAGTTTACCGACGTTTCAGGGGGCCTTGCTGCCACTATCACCAGGGCGACGAGTCCAATTCCTAGTACAAGATAATCTGGGCTGGAAATAGTACATTGTAGCTGTTATTAAATTGTTGTAAAATACTTGATATTAGGTGCAGTTTGTTTTGCTAAGCCACATTTTTCCACGATATGAGCAAAGTGATATCTCAGCCTCCACTTTCTCAGTAACCCTTAATTTATCTGCATTACTCAAAGTAATATTTCCTTCTCACTGCTTTTCTATAAAAGGCCGGAGTTGACTTTATGAAGTGCTTCTACATTTGCAAGGTCTGAATAAGTGGGGTTTAAAGAAATTTAGTGTAGAGTTTGTGGTAGCTGTCATCAAACGTGAAAAACAATTCAGGATGTCAATGTTTATTCTTATTCAAAAGTTTTGTATATTTTGGGCTAGTAAGTCTTCACAAAAATTTAAGGAATTTGAGATGTTTTAATACAGATTTTATCATCTGTGATCCTATTTAAATAGTGCATTGATTATGTTTGACGTTTGTTTTGTCATTTGGGAACAAATGTCAAAAGAGCAGTGGCATATATTTTAAGCGTTGTCACATTTGAAAGTCAAAGTCCTTTTATTGGAGATATACCTTCACTTCCTCATGTACATTCTTTTAATGTTCAACATATAAGTCTGCCAGGAACATTCTAGATCTCCACCTTAAATACGTCAGAAATTGCTTGAACAATTTGGAAAATTTTGCACAGCAATAATATACCACTGCACCAGGAAAACGTAGACCTAATAGAAATGCCATTACTTAAGTTTATTATTAAATTTTGAGTAGTGAAATAAAATTGCATGAAGTTGCTCACCACGTGTGGTGTCTGACTTTGGAAGTGTTTGAATCATTGTCGTTGAGGTGGGGAGAGAAGAACTCGGACGACAGCTTTGTGGTGACATGATGGGTCACTTGCTATTCTCGTTCTTTCTCACCCTAATACCGACGACCCTGCACGTTTTCTGATTGAATTAAAAGTTCAGAAGAAATCACTTGGCTGGGCACGAGTGGAAAGTATATTAAACAATAAATCTAATTATGCGCATATCTGGAATACCTGTCGTAATTTCTCAGCAAACATGGAATGGTTTGTCTTAGGTGTGACGTCGTGGGTGCAGTGAGCTGCTAAATTCTAATTAAGTTTACTGAGCTACGTGTAGTGTGACTGCGTTTAGTAGTTCCTATGAATAGTGCAAAGGAATGGTGGTGGTTAATAGACTTCCATATACGATGTGATTTCACGCTTACGCGGCGACTAAACTCAAAATCTCGGACAGTCAGCCGCTTCAAATGGTTACACGAAGCGATCTGTTTCGGGAACCATCTCCGCCCCCATATTCAGGACCCCTTTGATTGGGCTGATTGCCCCAGAAGATTTTACTGAAATGACTTCCATGTTTCTGTAAAATAGCGTAAACTTCAAACACTTGTTTAACTACATTCAAAAAGTAAACCTATAATTGTTACAACTAGTTACCACAGGACCGCTGCAAATTTGCGATATTCATCCAGTCGACGGATTGTGGCGACATGCAGGGTGATACTACTTTTTGTTATTAATAGCGGAACTCATATTTCAGTTTATACATGACTGCCTTATTTGTATTTATGTTGTAAAGTACTGTTGCTGTTTACAAAGGATAAGGAATGAAGAAAATAGAATGCTTGCTTCCACACTCTTTGCGATGATGTGTCTTAAAATGTCAGAAAAATGTTTTGTCTTTTTTATCAACTTCTTCGCCCCATCGCATAGTTTGCGAATGAAATTCATTGCAATTGTATTTATACAGTCAGCCAATCGCTGTGGCGGAATCTCCACCCCCACAATATCCTAGCTTTGAATGCCAGTTGCTTTTAAGTGATGTGTTCGCAAGGAGCAGTGTCTTCCTTTCGTGTGATAAGTGTTTTAATTTCAGGTTTTGTGTCTTTGTGTGGCTTATATGATCAGTAATAATTGCATATTTTGTAGTGTTTAGGTATTTTTAAACGTTTTACCCAGCTCGTTAGTTGAAACACATCACGTATAATTGTCATTCTCATCATATCTATGCCCTTCACTTGCGATGTGAATTAGCAGATACATAAAATATAACGCAGTTACAGTTGTAGTTATGCTTTCAGCATATTTTGTAAATAATTTGAGATAGGATGAAAAACGTAGGGAATTTTAGTGTAAGGGAACTACATATGAAATCCTCTGATTCTGTGTTGCATTTTCATTGGTGAATATTAGTGTAGAGCATTTAATAATTAAAAGGATTAGTGAAGGACATCTTTGATATTACACTGCTGTGTACAAATATATGTTTTTTTTTGTTCTTTGTGGGTTGTATATAAGAATTCTAAGTAACGGGTTCTGGCAGAGTCGTGTCCTACAGTATCATAATATTAAAGACCTGTGTTTAATATTTACGCAGCATATATTTTGTAATTTTTTACACTTCAACCAGTGGTCCGCAGACCACTGTCAGACCGCAAATATTAGCGTTTTGTATACGTACTACTTCAAAACGAGCTACATTTTGTGTTTCTTTTTGGGGACTTATTTGGTTTTATTGAACATTTCTGCTTCACAGAGAACACATATTTTGGGGGGTTGGTCACTGCGTTCCTCAAATTGTGTAACTGGACCATGTTACAAACCCAAGATTCATGGACGTTGGATATCCGATAAATTATTCTTTGCATTCTTTAGTGTAATTCAATTTGTATAATGTTTTAATATTTGTGAATATGAAGTGTCCCTGATTAAAGGCTTTATTGTAGTGCATTTGCATTATGTGTTGTGTACAGTGTGAGTCAGTGTCCATGAATCCATGAATCAGAATAGATTGAAAAATGCTGCACAATGATACAAGTACATTATGCATTATTTTAAAATTTGTAAAATGTAGGTAGAGTTTAGATAAATGCAATTCAGACTGCTCACTTTAGTAACAGACACACTGACTGCTATAGACCTTGAGTGACATTTTTGGAGACACCAGGCAAACGTTTAAAAATGAGTGGGCCAGGCCCTCTTCGTTATCGTCGTAGCCGAAGGCGGCGTAATGGGCCTACAGGAATTCCTATTGCAGAAGCACAAACTTCACTAGGAACTGGTGCCAGAATAAGATTCTTTCATCAGTCACGGCGAACCAAGAGAGTCACATTTTGTGAGTCAATTTCATTTCCTTACACTGTTTTTAGTAAAGGATCTTGGAACTCATCATGAGAAATGCCATTTATAAATAGTGAGTATTTGTGTGTGCAGCAAGGACTTTGTTTTATTAAATTAAAATGTCTTTTGGGTTGTAACACTGTTTGGACTTGCAGATAGATACCAGTGTTTTAGAATAACATTCTTCCTCTATCTTCAGCTGAAATGCACTTTGTAAATTTGTTAATGACTTGTTATCAAAAATTTATCACAGATATGGACACAATGAGTGTATGAAGAACAATTACAATTTATTAAATTTCCGTAGATCCTGGTACAAGCCAAGGATGTGGAACGTGTCATACATAGTATGAATATGAAAACTTAGTACAATAAAATACCAAAACAAAATTATAAGTGCATACTTATTATAGCTATTTACATAAATATGTACACTGTTGAATAATTTTCAGTTGAGGTAAATTTTTCTATGGAGTAGTGGTGATAACAGATAATCTTTCAGTGCTGGCTTAAATACTTTTATATCATGATATGCACTTTTAATGTTATCTGGAAGAGTATGAATAATTTTATCTCTGCATAGTAAACACCATTCTGATAACTAGTCAGGTTAGCACTTGTTTGATGGACATCATGCTTATGATTTGTGTTTATGCTGTGTATGTCAGATTTTGTTTGGACCTTCTACATGTTGTCCACAATAAAATTTAGTAGTGCGAGTAGGAATTCACTTGCAAGGCAGTGTATTACATCTCTTAAATGGTTTTTCTGCAAGATACTCTTCTTTTAAGAACTGTCATTGTTTTTCTTTTCGATGATAAATACTCTTTTGCTGTCTGTTGAATTTACCCAGAAGATAACTTCTTGTGCATTAAGGATTGAAAATAAGCAAAGTAAACTGATTTTAAAAATTTGTACTTGTCCCCCAATATTGTCAGGGTGATTAAGTCAAGAAGAATGAGATGGGAAGGGCATGTGGCATGCATGGATGGGGCAAGAGGTGTGCACCGGTTATTGGTTGGAAAGCCTGAGGGGAATATACTGCAGGGGAGATCTAGATATAGATGGGAGGATACTCTCAGGCAGAATCTATGGGAGATCCTGGGCCAACAAAATCCAGTCGCTCTAAACTCCTGTCTCCCACGGATTAGATTACAAGTGTTTGAAAACGGTGCTCAGGAGGATATTTGGACCTAGGAGGGATGAAATAAGTGTTTCAGACCATTCTTAATGGAAAATGAAACAGATAAATATTTACCGAAATTAATTTTGCTGCAGGTTTAATTTAAGCACACTTTTATTAGACTCACTAGTTTCTTTGGTATACCAAATTTAATGAGATTATTGTGTAACACATATCTCTTAACAGAGTCGTAGGCTTGCTGTTTTGTAAACTGTGAAACATAAATTATGGTACTTTGAAAGATTTGATCATATAACAGTATCAATATAACTTTGCCTTTTCAGTAATGTGTCAGTTGTACTGTGGAAATCTCTGTTTGTAATAACTGAAATCATAATTTAAAGAGCTTAATTATGGTAGTAGTGCATGTCAAAGCATATAAATTAACATCAGTTAGTTAGTTAGTTACTTACTGTACTTTCAATATCGGTTTCCTCTGCTTCTTGTAATGCTTCATAGCGGTTCTTTAGCTCTAAATGAAATTCTTTTTTTTCTTCTGGTGGTTTTCTGTTTTGTGATCCGGAGATACCCAAGTGATCTTATGGCAATTCTTATGAGGGAATATTGTACCTCCAATCACCAAATCATGGCTGGCACAAAAGTTTGCAAACATGTCTCCATTTTGATTCATTTCCCCAATGCCATGAACTCCCATTACCTGCTCCATGCCTTCATTTCTGTCCCCAACTTTTGCATTCAGATCTCCCATAACAATCAAAACATCCTTCTTGCAGGTTTTCCTGACAGTGTCATTTAGGGATCGATAGAACTCTTCTTTTAGTTCAACGTCTGAAGTTTCTGTAGGAGCATAGCACTGGATGATTGTGACATTTCGGATGTTTGTCTTAAAGCGTGCCGTCATTAACCTGTCTGATAAGGGTTGCCATTCCATAAGGCTTCTTTTTGCTCCTTTTGTCAACAAGAGACCAACTCCGTTCCTATGTTCTGCATCTTCTGCAGTAGGTCCTGAGTACAAGAATGTCAGCCCATCTTGTGTTTGCATTTCTCCAAAGTCTGGCCATCTCACTTCACTAACCCCAAGGATATCCAATCTGTATTTCAGCATCTCCTTTGTAACCTGCTTTAATCTGCTGGTTTCTCTCAAAGTTCTCACGTTCCAGAAACCTATTTTCGTGGTCCTTTTCATTCCAAAAGTCGTCAACACTGAATCTATCCGGCTGTCTTTTTTTGCTGTTTCCGTAACAAGAGATTTTACAGGTCGGGATGTTAGCCCTACGCCAACCCCCAGCCATCCTGGAGGACCGATGTTTTCTGTCGGGGTTGTCTCCCTTAGCTGGTAGGTCCCCATTTTAAAGTGTCGGGAACTCACTCGCTCGCTTTTTAGCCCTTACATGACTTAGCCGTGTACACAGAGTGTACCCGTTGCCCAGGAGCCATGACGTGGACATGTATGCATCGGACTTGGTAGGAATAAATGTCATTTCCTGTGTTTTATTAGTGCACTTCCACCAGCAGGGAGTGCACCCACAGGACCACATACTACCCCTTTGACCCCCATAAATTAACATCATATTTTTGCAAAATAATGTGTACCTGAAGAGATTGTTTTTGTAATTTTGTGTACTGTGGTTATTTGATCGAAATTGGCATGGCTTTTGGTCTGTATGTTCCGCGGATAACTCATTTATTATCCCTCTTCAGATTTGGATATGAGGTGATTCCTTATGCAGTCCTCAAGATATGTAGGTGACCTGATGCAGGTCATACTGTGTGCAAGTGTCATGTATCTCTCTCACTGTTTAGTTTAGCATAACACTGCTTCACTGAGCTGCAGTTTGTCAAAGATGTGATTGTTTCAGGTGATGAAGAAGTGGCAGTATCAGTCTTTGATGGTGACGAAGTCTTGGACCACCAGATGGAGGAGGCCCAGAAAGGAGCACCTGTTCTGCCTCATTTCCAGTACACGAGGGTAAGTTTTAAGCTGCCCATAAACAGAAATAAATTAACCCATTTTTGAACAATTGATTATACTTAGTTTATTGCACAGCATTTTACTAGGCTCACCTTTGAAGGACCAATCAGGAGTAGAACCACACCACAAACTTCTCCATTTTCTGTATGGTTTTGTTAAACTGTGTTACATGGCTCTTTCTTCCCAAATGTAGTAGATAAGTTATAGTTTATTTTTTATTTTTTGTAAAGTCATTTTGTGTACAGTTTACAAAGTTGAATTGAATTAATTAAGAAGAAGACTACTGCCTTTAGGGTTTGTTAAATTTTAATTTTGTACAGAGTGCCCCTTAGAGAGAGGAGAGCTTCAGGGCATCATACTAGGTTGACAGTGTTTAATTAATATGGATCTTGGAACACTTTGTAAAAACTTTCTGATGTTAAAATTGTCCTAGAATGTTTCAGCTACTCTGCAGAAATTCATGCAGTTTGATATTGACTCGTTCATCACAAATATTTGCCAGATTAATATAATTTTGGTCTGTGTTAGTAGGATGCTTGAATCAAACTCATCCGGTTTCTCAAAAAGAATCATCATATAACAAATTGGTATTTAAAATTATAGGTGTTATTAAACTCATAACTTTCACTTGAAACCTTTTTTTTTTACAGTATACACAAATTTTGTGAAGTATGAAGAAATATAATTTCTTGTATTTTTATTAGCTTTGTCTGCAGTAGAATATATGACTGTGCTAATACTAATCTGTTATTTATTTAATTACATTATCAATATATCAGTCTAAAACCTTGAATGACAGGATGATCATGGAAAATGAATTGCAAAGAATATTGAAGGATTCAATCATGGCTTAATTTAAGGCACTACTTCAACAGTTGCCAGGATCAACTTAGGAATAAACCTTAGTAGGAATAAGTAGGCCCAGGACAGGGTCTGGTGGAGGGCTTTGGTTAATTTGGTGATGGACCTTCGCGTTCGGTAAGCCATCTAGTTGCTTAGTGAGGAATAAGTAGATTTGAGGTTTACGTGGTGGCAAGTATGATGATGGCTGTGTTCTAGGTTTTTCGCCATTTAGTCTGATAGAAGTTTACCAGTGTTTCAGCAGTACTTGCTGCCTTCATCATTAAAGTAACAAATAAGCTGTGCACAAGGAAATTGTTTGAGATGTAGGAACCAGTCAGTAATGGCAGAGCCTTGATCATACCAGTGGGTAATAAGGTGAGGATCAGGCAAGGGCAAGGGAGCCAGTAGAAGAGAGAGGGCATACAACAGCTATGACAGAAGGGAGGAAGACATGCAAGAGAAAGAGAGAGTAAAGGAAATGGGCCTCTCAGGGACCAGCAAGAAGACCATTGGACACAAGGAAATGTGGGTAGATGGAAGAAGGGTGATAAGAAAAGGAAGTGTGTGGGGGAAGTAATGAACTAAGTAACATGAGTTTGGAGTGAGGAAGTAAGGAACTAGCCAGGGCCAGGTTATTGTCCTGAAGAAGACAATGTGGCAGCCTGGTTGCCAGGTCGGGACATGCAGTGTTGTTTGGAGGCTTTCTGTGTCCTTGAGAGAGTGGTTGTATGGCTTCTGTGACTGGCTTAGGTGAAGACTATCCTTCCTGTTCATACCCCTATCACTAATGTCCCACCAAATAAAAACTGACCTCTTCTCATACATTATAATTCTTACATGGTTTATCATTGATTCATAGATCTGGTAATGATTGTTATCAGTCTTGTGTTGTGTTGTAGCTTAATCTAGGCAGCCCCTCTGATCAATTTCTTGCTGCCCATACAGTCATGTATGGCCATTTTGCAAATGACGAAGAACAGTGCGACTGCGGACAGATTCATAGCCCAGAGCATGTACTCATATGTCCAACGATGGGCGAAGTCTGTACGCAACAGGATTTGACGCAGAATTTTGGAAAAATAATATTTAGGCATTTCTAAACATCGAAATGAAATGAATGATTCTAGTAAAACTTCTGTGTTCCTCTTTATTGTATTTATATCATCACCCAATAAATTAACATCATTTGCATATACCAGTAGCTGATGTGTCCCATTCAATTGCAAACCCTCCTGCCTATCTTGGACTTTCCAAATGACGTATTCTAACTCAAAGTTAAAGAGCAATGGAGACAGCATCTCCTTGTTTCAGACTTTAATGCAGTACTTGAATTTGGAAAGGTTTATTGATTGAAGTTCCTTCTATTAAAATGTGAGACAGATAATTGAATAGAATAATGTACCAGTTTAAAAAATTGCCTGGTTGTGTCAGAATCATCAGATGAATGCTACTTGTAACTTAATAGATCACTTGCACTTACAGATTTTCTGTTAGTGCCTGGTTACTGTTTGAGTTTCATCCAGTGTTCACAGTCATTTGCAAGTACCCAGGCTACTGTTTTTAGTCTTGGTGTCAGGGATGTATGGTACACACATACAGATGTCTGATGTCTGTTGTGTGTATTGCAGGAGGAGCTTATGCAATTCCAGTCTCACCCACTGTCTAAGAAGAGACCAGAATTCTTAGATCCAGCTTTTAACAAGTAAGCTATAGGATTTACTAGAGCATAAATATATACTGTAGACCTATTCATTATCAAAATATGTATGGTTGTCTAACTATAAATTAGAGATTACATAAACAACAAAGCACAGATAATTTAATTATGCATGGATATGAAATTTCCATCCTGAAATATCACTGTAAAATATGAGGTGTGATAAGTTCCCAGAATGCCTGCAAATATGTCACATTGAGTAATGAGTAAGGAATAACTACTCACCAACATGTTATGACGTGTGTGTGACTGCATCTTGTGTGTTGGTGAAGTAAATAAGGCAGTAGTAGCAAAGTAGTAGAAGAGTTATGCAAGTGTGGATTATTGTCCCAGTGGAAAAATGAGTGATAGATAACATAAAGTTTTGTCAAAGTTAGGCAAAAGCACAAGTGAAACTTTGCACATGTAAACACAGGCTTATGGTGCTGATGCAAGAGTCTCTGCATGGCATAAAAGGTTTAAGCGGTGTCAGGAAGACGTGAAATTCGACAAAAGAACTGGACATCAAAAAACTCACTAGGCAAATGAAAATGTAGAAGAGTGCAGAATTTGGTTTGTTCTGACAAATGATTAAATGTACTAATGTTGTCAGATGAACTAAATTTAGACAGGCAAACTGTGAGGAAGATTTTGACTTAAGATTTGTGAATGAGGAAAGTTTCAGCAAAGATGGTGCCACAAATTTTGTCTGATGACCAGAAACAGCGGCAGCTTGATGGTTTGTTCTGATCTTTCTTGTAATTTGACTGAAGGAAACAACTTTATGGATAGACTTATCACAGATGATGAATCATGGTGCTTTAGTGTGATCTGGGAATGAAACATCAGTGTCACCGAGATGAAAATAAAGGTATGCATATGCATGCCATGAGAACAAGTGAAGACAGGTTTTTTTTATCACAAGGGCATTGTTCACTTTGAGTTTGTTCATCAAGTGAACCAGCGTTGCTATTTAGAAATATTGGTAAGATACTGAGATTGTTCATCTGAGAAAAGTTGCACTTTGGCTTCATGCTTGGATCTTTCATCATGACAGTGCCCCTGTTTATGACATGCTTGCTGTCTGGTAGTTTCTGGCCAGAAATCATTATAGAAATTAGGCCCTTTACATATTCAGAAGATGAATTCCAGAAATGTTGTGAGTAATGGGAACACTGACTCGCTAATTATATTGGTGTGCAAGGAGACTACTTTGAAGGTTACAGCAACTATTAGAGTGTAAGTAATTAAATACAGCTTTTATGGGGTATTCCAGGAACTTCATTGTCACACCTCATATAATAGTGAAGTACAGAAATAATTTGTGATGTATATTACATCTTGAAACATGAAATGTAATTTATAACTGTTGTGAGAATATGATAAGTTCCCAATTTTTATTTTATATTGTACATTGTAAATGTGTGGCAAGTTTTGGCACCTCTTCTTCTCTTTATAATTAGCCTTCAGTTCCATATATTTTTCCATTTTTGCTTGAGTATTTGAACCAAACTGCACAGGAGTTTTTGTGGACTCTGCAAGAAGTTACAGGTATGCTGCTAGATCTGCTCATTGTGTTTAATATTCTGGGCAAGAATAATACTTTTTTAGGCTATATGTGGCCAAGTGTTTTCTTGCTGAGGAATCATTTCTTTTTGTTTTAAATCTTGCTGATGGGTTCTTACAAATGTTCCTTTGTTAGAGAGGATTTATAGTCGGCAGCCACTATTGGCAAGATATGAACCTTAGTGTCCCATGGCTACAGAAATTTGAAAATGTTTGATGTAATTTCATTTTTGATGGTGTAGTGGTGTGCTCAGTTTTCGAAACTGCAATACTGTCTCGGCAGCAAGAAATTTTGTAACAAATAATTCCGCTGAACATCTTGCTCTGTTTTCATCCTCGATGAGTATGATGATAAATAATTTCATATTAATGTTCATATTTCTGTCATATGCATGCGGGGTGTAATGTGCCAGTCTGATCATTTTATTTTGAACATAATAATCGAAAAAGATTAGTCACTGAATTTATTGTACGCTCTTCATACATTAGCATGAAATCGTTAACTCTTTATAGGAATGTTCATATACATGGGGAATACCTATAAAGTAACTCTGTTTGTACACATGAAAGTATTTGAGAATGATTGAATGGATTTTCATTACATTTGATATTGGGGAGTTTTACTAAAACTTGTTGAAACATTGTAGTTTTGGTCAGTCAGACAGCAATAGTAAGCACCGTATGTGAAGACCTGTGTGCATTTCTGTGCTCTGAAGTTTCCAGTTAGGGAATTCTTTATCTGGGAAATTCCTACTTGGTGCATCTCTGGATTGAGAATTCCTCAACCATTCACAAATGTTGAAGTTCAAACTCGAATGTTCTAGAATTGTACATTATACTTACATTTCCTGACATGTTTCTACCTAACTTTGCCCCCTTTCAGTGAATATATTTGCTTAACTCTCTAGTGGTTTGTGAAGTGTCTATAATCAGTTTTATTTCTCATTGTATGATTAGGTTAATTGTTACAAAATTGTTTTGTATTGTGTAATAGCTCTCGCGGAGTTTGGGATCCAGAACGCTGGCATCTGGACAGGAAAAGGTCAGAGACTCCTCCAGAAGATGAACGTGGAGTTCGTGGAGATCTCCCAGTGGACCACAAGGTATTGTTTATGACAGGGAAGTCATAGATGTGATTGGTATAATGTTGTTAATATGTGTGCCTAATAATACAAGACAATGATTAGCAATTTCTCTGCTTATATGGAATATTTCTTGCAGAGAGGAGAATTAGAAGATTTGATTTGTTTTACCCAATTCATGACATGTTATTATATAAATAATGTAATAGTTTTAGCATGATTAAATGTAGCTAAAATGTTAACTGCAGCCTACACATTGTTGTCCAAGAGGCAGATGTTTCTAGTTGTGTTATGAGATTGCTTTGAAATACCTATATTTCAGTGAGACTTTTTTATACATGTTGCCTCTGTTGTAGTAATTGTATTCTGATACTGCAAGTGTTGTGCGTGTTGGATGAACTGTGAAACTTAATCTACTGTTTATTACAGCAAGAAATGGAATTGAGCACTTTGTGTCATGTCTTGTTTTGAATTTTTTCACATTGAAACTGAAATGTAACAGTAGCTGATATGAAATTGTTAATGGAGCGAGATAGTGATGCATGTCAATAGCATACAGTCTCTGTAGGTATTAATTTTATGCACACTATACAAATAAAGTAAACATGTACTTTTGGGGTAATTCTTTGAAAGAAATTGCACAGAAGCATCACAATACTTTTATGAACTTTATTTTTCACAGAATATTATTAAAAAGACAAAATAAAGAATATAGTGGAAAAATTTTATATTATTTTTGTAGCGGCGATCTGGTGATCCCCGAGAACGGGTACGTAAGGAACAGGATGGTATAGTTTTAAGTCCTCAGCGCCGAAGCTTCAACTCCGGATGCTTTGTCAACATCAGTCAGAATAACAGACAAGCTGAAAGTCCTCTAGGGAAGACTGATAGAGACAGGTGAGCAAAGTAGTATAAGAGTTTTAGTTGGATGTGTGTTTCAGGGTGTTAAACATAATTGCATTTTATAAGTATATATTTAAAATATACTGTGTGAGCTAGTGGTTTACCAAAACTAAGGCAAAAGCTTTTCACTGGACTGTGTCCAGAGCCAGTCTAGTCCAGTCCACTTTACGAGCTAGTGTGATCATGTGACTTCAACCACCAGTTCCCATTGGCTAGCTTGAAACGAAGCAACAGACCGGCTACTAGCAACATCATGACTACTTGCCATCCACCACCAGTTCCCATTAGCTAGCATGTAACAAAGGAATGGACTGGTTACCCAGCAACACCGAGGTTGAGAATAGAGATGGTTTTTGAAACATTGGCAGAAGATTTGGTTTGTTTACCGTTTAGCCACCTGACAAGGCTTGTAGCCGAAGAGTATTTTATCCACTTTGCAAGCTGTTTTCAAACAAATTTACTTCTGAGAACAGTGTGTCTTTCAAATAAATTAAGTAGTTACAAAAAATGTTGAGTATAGTTCTTCTTTGAATGTCTTCAATGATGGTCTTATATTACTACTTGCTTTGTTTTGGATTTTATCCATCTTGTGTTTTTCTAAAAATTCTTAAAAACCTTGAAACCCCAAAAAATTACTTTATTCCAAAAGATGATGTTTACTGATTGATCTTTGAGAGTGCCCAGATATTGGCTGGTAACTAATAATGGAGAAAATTAAATATTACTGTGGGTATGCAAAGAATAATGAAAAGAACAAGAAACTAGGTGAAGTTGGCTGTCTTCTCGAATGTTGCGCATTGTAGTCTGATAGATATTGACTGACATTTCAGAGGAGCTTACAATCTTCATCATCAGGAGATGGCCATCTTCATACTTACTGCCATTAGAATCTCAGATCTTGCCAAGAAGAAGGATCTTTGACAAATATTGCAACATCTGTTATTTGTTCTGAATGTTAAGTAATGATATAGTACCAAAAAGAAATCAAGATTTACTCATTTACTTCACTGTGAATCAGGAACTTGGTGAATGTGCTTAAACCAGGAGAGACTGTGGATGTAATTAGTGATTGAACTCATTACGTGTTTTAACAGTGATAGTTTTGCAAAGCTGTTTACACTGCACAGAATTAGTTTTTTTATATTTTTAATCATAACATACATTATGTTTCAAATGCAAGTTATAGTTTATTTATTAGATCTATGTCTTGTATATACATTTTTCGTATGATGAGCTATTCTCATGAAAATCAGCGAAGGTCTGTTTGAGCTTTGTGTGAAGTAATAATTATATTATACCAACACAAACCAAAATTAAACGTGTCTGAAGTTTGGTGTCTAACTCCTACAATATATGTTATCAAAATTTGTTTCATAGTTTTAGAGATGAAGCATGCATATGGTCAGATGTAACTGTCATCAGTTTCCATGCATATTATTTATGTTATGCAGACAACTGACAACATTTATAAGTGTAGTGACATCAGATATGAAAGAACATTCATGATTGACGCATTTAGCTTACCAACATGAGACTTTATAAATATGGTAGTCATCACCAAATTGCATGCTTCAAGGACACAGAAGGAGTTCACTCTCTCATATGTACCTTTCTACATGACTTCAAGTGAATAGTACAGCATTGCTAGCTTTGCTGTGTTTTCTGAGCTGTCTTCACTCTTTCGCAAGCAGTTATGTGTAGGACGTGAGGTTTTCATGGTGGTCAGTCTGAAGATGGTTGTCTTCTGGGTTGTACCAGACTATGTGGCGCAAGAACCCAGAACACAGCTGTCTTCATGCAGCTTCGTAATCCTGATTGGGATTGTGCTGTGAATTTTAATACATTTCTTTCCTTAAATTCATATTATATGTTGTGTCTTACACTAAATTAATTGCTGTGTGGTGATGTAGGAGAGTAACCTGAAATTTCCTTGGCTGTTAAAACACCAGTGAGACTGGGCATGTTGGGAAAATTTGACTGTAGAAGTCATAATGAGAGGACTATTTACAATATCTTAACATTTTTCAGACATATGTGAGGAACCTAACATTTCAATAACATAAAATTAAACATTTAAAGCTAAAAATAAAGTACCAAAGTAAACATTTAGTTGTATTATGTGGCAAGGTCCCAGCTGTGGGGCAAAATCACCATTTATACACAACATACAAACATTCACCATACTTTCTCACAAACCAAAAGATTGGTTGAAATGTGGTTTATGAAAATATAAAGTTTGAACTGGAGCTGCATTTCACAGCCAGAATGTAGGTACAGGATGCACAGAATGTACATTTGTAGCAGGATATATTTTTACCTATGTGGTGAAGAATAATCTGTAATTCAGTGAAAATTTTGTCTGGTTTAAAATAGTCAAATTCCATGGCAAATGCATTATTAGGTATTGTTATATTAACAAAGACATGATGATTGCAGTAATCAAAATCTCTTGTTGATCATATTAAAAATAAAAATGTTACGGTTGGTTGAAGTGAGAAGCCCAACAAAACATTCAACTTGCCTAGGTTCCACTATTTGTACTTCAGTGTTGTACAGTTTTGCTGCATCCTTTGAAGCATGCAATTTAGTGATAAGGATATGCATTACTGTAAGATCAGGTGTTCATCTCTATAACATTTTTAATAATACACATTAATGACTATAGAATAAGCTGTGACTTTTCTCATTGTTTGAGTTGTTTATTTCAGATTTATAACTTGTATTTCATGGTTGATGCAGGGACATAGGCCATCGAGATATGGCCCCATCTCGGCGTATAGGCAGTGGTCGTATCTTGACTCATAATGTGTGGGACTTCCGTCTTGACCGAGAGAAGGACTCAGATCAGCAGGTAGATTATACTTTTCAGCGTAGTGGAAACAGTGGCACTACTACCAGAGACCGAGAACGTGATAGAGATCGTGAAGAAAGGTAAGTTCTGTTAATGCATCTCTTTATTTATTCTTTTCTTGACTGAATATTTAGAAAGTGTTTTAAGGTTGTGGTTTTCTGATTATTTTGTACAGAATTGATGATGGCAGAAGCAAAAATAGGACACTTAAGTCCGGATTATTCTTCCTTTAAAAATTTTGAAGTTTTTGTTCTCATGTTCCTGTAAGACAGTTTCTTCTGCCCTCTACTTATAAACTATCATATTTTCATCAATGCATTAACCTTCTAACCAAAGAACCAAAGCAGATTCCTTGCTTGTTCACAATCTCCTTATAGTTGTAGAATCATATACCCTTTTGTTTACTTTATCGTTTCTCAAATTTTTCTTCCTCTAGTTTCCTCAAAACTAGATTATAAGACTATTCATATTCAGTTCATCAGCTCACCCCTTTTAAAACTTCTGTCTCCTGCAGATATTTGTAGTATCTCAAATGACAAACCTATTCCACTTTTAGATGTACATAGCTGCCTTTAGTCATTATCAAATCTGGACTCCTTTAGGTGTGTTATGAGATCCCCCTCCTCTCTACCTTTTCACATTCTGTATTAATTTGCATTTCAGATTTAGTACGGTATGTGATTGTATTGGTTTACATGTGAAATTTCTAAATTTAGAGAAGATTAATGTCTTCTGGGAAGTTGTGCTGTGGTTTCATAGAAGTTGACAGATATTTTAGAGGTGCTTGCTTTCTCCATAATCAGGGTCAAAGGCATAAAACACAGTCTTCATGCCCATGCCATCCTATATCATATGTGTATTAATTTGGAGGGTGCACATAGGTTATTATTTAAACAAACATTTTGTGATTTGTGGCTTGAAATGACCATATTTTCAGTATTGCTGGAAAGTTATATAGCTGAAAATGAAAAGGTGTCATTGAAGAATATGGATAAAAGTGCTGGTGGTCTGTTTTACAATACTGCCCTAGTATTATCCAGAAGGAACATAGGAAAACAGCAGGGAACCTCTTATCAGTATAGCTGGTGTCTAGGTCATGATTCAAATCACAGACCCAATTGAGTATGAAACAATTGCTACTTGAGTATAACTAGGGGTTCAATGATGGTTTTTGACAAATTCTTTTAGTAATTCTGTTTCTGTGTCATTTTACAGATTCTGAATGATACAACTTGAATTATGTCATTCTGAATACCAGTGATGACATAAGTTAAGCTTGTTTATGTAAATTTATGTTCAACTGTAGTGAAATTGTGTTGTAGGCTAACCACATTTGTAATATGTATCCTCAGTAGCATCTTTCTTAGAGCTTCCCTTCCTCCTTTTTTGATTATGTGTCAGTCAGAGTCTCAACTTCTCTCCTTGATAATTATAAAAAATTAGATCATAAACTGATTACTTTATTTGTATCAATTTTATCTGAAGAGTAAAATTCAGGAAACTGTACTTCCAGTTACAGAAAAATAAATTATTATTATTATAATGTTATGACATCTGTATATTTATAAACCTGCTGCCAGTTGAGATTGGAATCACTGCACTAACCATTATTTATTACATGCTTAGGTTTGAACGTCGATCATTTGGTCGTGACTTTGATCGGGACCGGGAAAAGGATCGTCACCGTGACCGTGCTGATAGGAGTCGTTATGCTGATCGTCGACGGGCATACAGTGATAGTCGAGAGGAGGAGCCAGAGTGGTTTTCAAGTAAGTGGGTTAAAATTGCTTTGCACTTCATTAACTAGCTAGCTAACCAGTTAGTCAAAGAATCTATAGTATTAGAATTCATTGGTGCTAAAACAAAGATTGCAGTTGTCTAGTCACTTTAGTCCTGTTTACTTCATCAAAACCTATTTTCTGTAGATGCGTAACTATTAATGTCTGTTTATCTGGTTTTCTAGGTGGCCCAACGTCGCAGCATGATACAATTGAACTTAGAGGTTTTGAGGATATTCCTGAGGAGCAGGTGACACATGGTGCACCCAAAAAGCAGTCCCCTCCTCAATCCAAAGTTGGGAAATCCAGTAAGTAAGGAAGATGTGAAGTAGATTTTATGTACCTCTAGCAGCAGAGCTGGTTTTTTTTTTTTTTTTTGTTGGTTTTGAACTTAGGCCATGGTTGTCCAGAAATTAAATTACAGTAAGCTAAACTCCCCCTTCAGTTTTCCTCCTCCTTAACAGTGGTTGCTACAGTGGTACTATGAAGGTCTGAATATCTTGCCATCATTAAACAGTATTGAGCACACTAGCCAGAGTTTTGATTTCATTAAATGTCAGGCATCTTGTACTAAAACAAGACTTCCACTGCTGCTCTGTGCTAATGGTGCTAAATGAAAAGAGAAAAGGTATGCTTCAAGTTGAAGTATACAGTGAAATGTCATTTTAATTGATGCAGGAGTAATGAAAATATTTCAGTAAAATAACTTTTTTTTGGACCCCACCAATTTAGTATTGTTCTGTAAAAAATGTTTAATTTTAGTGAGTACTGTTGTAATGAAGATATCAGTTTAATGAAATAAAAATTCATCATACTGTGAAAAAATATAATCAGTGTAACAGAATTTGTAAAAAGAAAAGATTAAACAATGCAACGCATTTTATGACATCCACCATGGCATATGTGAGACAGAGATAAATGGGGGGGAAAGAAAACAGAGTTACAACAGATCATAAAGGTATGTTCATTATGGAGAACTACAAAAATGTAGACATTTGTCATGGCATTGATATTCTTGAGAGAAACTGCATGAATAAAACCCTGAGGAAAAAATTCATCCCCCACCTCAACCACGTCCCAAGTGTGCCAACCCCGCAACATTCCATCTTGCTTACTTTGGTCATTCGCATGATTTTAGCTGCATGATGAAAATTGAAAATTGAAACCATGTTTTGATGTGGTCAATCAGCAAGCATTTTGATTCAGCTCAAGTAGAAAAGGTGCGTTGACATTGGTTGATCTTAGTCAATTGCATATTTTGATGTGATTAATCAGTGAGTATTTAAATTCCACTGAAGTAGAAAGACTCTCCTTTTGTTTGATTCAGTCATTGCTGCATGCCTAAATCACCTGTGTAAACATCCGCATCTCAGCTCTTTAAATTATCATGCAAATGATTTGTCTATTTTTTATATTTCATAAAGAGTTGTAGGTCTTAATGAGATATTTTATGTTATGTACAGTGAGCTGTTTCAAAGAAAATTAGTGGAAAACCCATTGCAATCAACAGTAGTTAAAAACACTTGTGTGCTTTTCATATCAGTTATATTTAAATGGAGGGAAAATTTCTGGTTACTCTAAGGTTTCATAATAAGTCATAGAATGAAATAATGTAGTCTAGGACAGTGGTTCCCAAACTTTATTCTGGTGCCACCATTGAAAAGGAAATTTCGTGCACTATACAGTTTTACATTATAATTATAGGTGGAGATATAGGGGGAAATTTTTGGTATTTTTATAGGTGAAAATGCACATATATTTATTTACCATTAAATTTAATCCTTGATTTCCCCTTGGCTTCCCATAGAAATTACTCTGAGTTTGCCCATGCTAACCATAGAAGTCAACAGAGTGTAAAATTACTAACAGTACATACTCAGTGGGAAGGATGGGCCTACATGTTTGAAACTAGGTACTCATCCTTGTTTAAATTGTCTGTACAGTAACTCACAAGTAATTTTCAATTTGGGGGCAGTTATGGTACTTCAGTGTAATTGGTGTTATTGCTGAAAATGTTTTTTACACAGATATGTTGTTTTTGAAAGTCGTAACATCGTGGTGGCTAAATGTGAGAGTTCTGAATGTCCTTTTTATATGAATTAAAAATTCAGGAATAGACAAAGCTGCAAACTTGATCCTGAGGTTTGTATCACAGGAAAGATCCATCAGAGATTCCTTGGCTGTCATATAAAGGTGACTTATGTTCTTATTGATTGCAACTTCAAATTGATTTTGCATTCATTAATGTCACTGAAGGGTTAGTTCTGGTAAGTAATTAAAATTGCTCTAAAGATTAGTGAGGTGAGTCAGAACATGAGGTTACTTTCTTCAAATGCAAAATAGTTTCTTCTAGGTATTCACACTTGTTGACAAACGTTTCTGGGTAGTTTCTATGACAGAGGCTTTTCCATTGCATTGTCTTTTTTGTGAATGCTGAGACCTTGTCAGAAAGCTGAAAAACAGTTGCTTTTGAACCTTGAAGAGATGAGTTTGGTTTGTTGACCTTTATTAAATGTATCTGACAGATAAGACAGAAGAGCAATCAACTTGTTGTCTTAAAAAGTGTCGACAAGGCAGAGAATTAGACTTCTGTAAAAATGTAGGTACTTCTTTTTTGAGCGGAGCTAATCATTTAAGAACTTTACGCCTTGATAACCACCTCAACTCCAAATGAAACAGAAGTGTCTTGTGGTCTGCCTACATTTTCTCATTCAAAACTACAAGTAAGCGAGAGTTTAATGGGCAAGCTTTTGCAAAGTCACAAAAAGAGGCTAGAAGTTCCTTTATTGAAGTAATAACTGCCGTTCTCAGTACTTTAACTGTTTATGGATTTCTTGTAGTTTTCTTTAAAAAAATTGACAGTGGAACTACGGTTCCGGAGAATCTGACGTCAATACGTCTCTGTATTTAAATTCTATTTAAGCAATAAATACAATGAAAGGAAGGTAGCTGAATGTAATGTAAGGAAATGTAATAAACTGTAATGTCTAGTCTACGACGCACTTCTTCTAAAAGCGATTCACAGCTCAGCTCTTTCCGCAGTAATGTAACACTACAATTCCGAGTAAACAGATGACGTTTCCTAGGTAACATAACAATGCACGCAAGCTGACCATTGTTTCGTAACAAGATGAATGACATTGAAGATAACATTACATAACTTTACTTTACATTGAATTACGTTACATTATAGAGACGTAAATATAATTTAAATACAAAGACATATTTACGTCAAATTCTCCGGAACCGTGGTTCCACTGTAACTTTTTCCCCTATAGGAGAGCCATGGTATCACCCAATATGTCGATATCACTTTTCAACACTTTATTAGCCACAAATCCATTTTTACAGAACTGCACAGTGAACAACTTGGCCATATCAGGTTTCACTAATGAACTGAGACCACAGTAGTTTGTAATAATAAGAGCTTCAACAAGTGCATTTTGCTTTTCTTTCTCCCTGTTTAATGTAAGCTACCAGCAATCATTCCAATATTTGTAATGGTGCATGAGGGTCAGTTTTATGTAAAACTGTCTATTGTGAAGACTGCGTAATTACTGCTAACTGAACTGTTTTTTATGGATTTTATAAGGTAAATAAGAAATGAGACAATTTAATCAGTTGGTAGTTCAGTTTTGAACCATTCCCATAATTTTTATGCGCATTACTTTCAATGTTTTGCTTACCAATTGTATGCACATCACCTAGTTTTTGAACCACTATTCTAGGGTTTTTCATTGTGTGGCCTGCTGATGTAATTTGTGCAGCCCATGTACATTTTTCTGATATTAATTAACCCTGCGTAATGAAAAATTAGTCACTTCGTATGTTAAATATTTGTATAATTTTAAGTGATTAGTAAATAAATATAACTTCTTTGTTAAAAACTGTGTAATATTTGAATCTGTTTGCTTAGCAGTTTTATAAATTTCCTCAGTAAATAATTCTGTGTATATCTTGGCAGCCCTTAAGTTGATTAGAAACTGTAAGAGGGTGTTCCCACATCTTGAAATGTTGGGTACTCCCAATGTAGTCAGAAGAGTGGAGCTTAGAAATTTGTTACATGAAGTATTGATTTACCTCATGCATATTTAACATTAATTATATTCTAAAACAACCTACAAGCACTGCCTCACTGATTGAAAGTCTGGAGAGATCTTGTTCATAATTTGTGCTGAACATTACATTGATAAAGCAATTTAATGCCAAAGAAATTGTGATGGTATCATAGTTTTGTGAATGTACAGTAGGCCTAAATGGTTAGAATTTTAGATTAGAGTACTAGGAAATTATTTTACTAAACTGTTGTATATGGACATCTTACAGGTTTCTGTTTTGAAGAAAATCTTCAACTTCTGATATACATACCAGTGAATATGAACTTAGTACTTGAATACAAATTCCTTCCTAATATATTGTACTTAAATAGATATACTAAATCAGCACCTCATCCCAGCTGAATGAGGTCTTGAATGAGGCAGTTTCATTAGCAACTTGGGTGAGAGAGGACAAACATCCAGAAATCAAAAATTATTCCTGACATTACAGAAAGGCAGTGTTAAATATTACATCTGCACTGTTAAATTTCTTAATGGAGTGCTAATGTAAGCATTTACCTTTTTCTGTAGTGTGTATGGAAATAAATTAATATATTCTTGGAACTTTTTATTATCTACAGATCAACGTCCAGTTACTTTGAGCCGTCAGTCTTCAGATTCAGTACTGCAGCAGCAGACCAGCTTGGCGGGCCCGACAGGTCGCAGTACTCCAACATCTATTGGAGCTATCACCATTGCACCTGCTGCTCCCCATTCTCCCATACTAGAAGATGTATCTGCATCAAAAGCAAAACATGCTACTTCAACAGTTAAGGCCTCTGAGGAAGATTCTTCAACTGACAAACGAACCATGACCTGGGAACCAGAGAATGCAGAGGAAAATGGACCCCATGTGTTGCAGAACTCTGAATTCAACCTGGAACTAGATGACATTCTTAAAATTGATTCTCTTCCATTGTTAACGGTAAATATTGATTTACAGCTGCTTTCTGTATTGACATGTACCTGTTTGATCTAGGGATTTTCAGCCATCTATGACTTGGGACTACATTCACACTTCTTATTGGCTCATTTACCACTACCCTATAATAGGGGACAATTTATTAATATTCATGGAAATTTATTAAAAATAGAACAAGTTAATAACATTATTGCAGACTGGTTCACATGTTACTGAATTATTTGTTTCAAAATCAGTTAGCAGTCAGATATTTGACATTACTTTTGCTTGATTAATTTGTCAGTGAGTTTTAATTTATGTTGTTGCTATTTGTAGCCATCCCTTTAGTGTTCATCAATAAGACCTGTCCTGTTTCTTGATTTGGCATTAGTCATTAGGCTGGACAGTACCCCACAGCAGTAGGCACCTCAAAATAGTGACACTATCAATGCTTCCATGCCTTGGCTGTAAAAATAATGTGAACGTTTTTTTATTGATGTAAATACATCTATACGGAAGGGTCATTCCGCAAAACAGTGTTAGGAAAATGTGTAAGATCAACAATGTGTAACAATGCTTTACTCCTTTACCTAAGAAACTAATGTTATGTCATCTGTTTATTCAGCATTGTTGTGTTTCATTATTGACATCAACAATCCGCTTTCGTTATTGCGGAAAGAGCTGAGCTATGAATCACTTGTAGGAGTGCGTCGTAGAGTAGATAATATTTTGCTGTTAAAAACGTTTTAGAATATCACAATTACTTATCTTATATAAGAATTATTAAGAAATCTGTGATACTGCCCTCCACTCTCTCCATTTTATTTTGATTAAATTTGATTTAAGCTATTATAAAGATGAGCCATAGATGCTCTTGGATTAACGGTTTGGCAGTGTGACTTTGGCTTTCACGTGAGAGCCGTGTTGTTAACCAATATTTTGGGAAAAACATGCAGTTGCCATTTTCAAGGAGGGTATGAGATAGGGCAAGTTCTGTAGGCTTTATATAGGGCAGGCAGGCTGAGATCAAGAATGAGTAAGAGCTATATCTCCTTTCCCCGTAGATGCCTACACTGCATGCAACTGTACTTTTACTCTTAAAACCTATGGATCAGCTGAAAGCTTCATTCCATGGACTTCACAAATATAACACATTTTGCTTTTACTTTGCTAATAAATGACTGCAATTATTTATGATTCATGGAAATAAACAATTATTTGATAAAAAATTAATACTACATGCTGTAAGTGTAACAATCATTCAGGGTACAACTCATAGCAAGCCATTACATTTCTTAGATAACTGTAACTTAATGTTACAGAAATTACAAATAACAGATAATTAAGTACACTGCAATATGCTTACTCCCTGACAGATATAGTTATTGTGATGGTCATTTGGTATATTTGTGCACACATCATTCTAATTGTGACCACTTTGTTTTTGTAGTGCTCAGCCTGGTCTGTAGCAGTCAGTCAGCTGGCACAGCACACAGAAGGGCCAAAAAATACATTTCTTATCAATATGCTTAAGACTTATAACAGCATCATCTTCATCTTAGACTCGTATTTCAAATGTATTCTGTACCCAATGTACACTTCTCAAGCCCTGTAGATGAAAATATACACAAATACCACTTGGGAGTCTTGCCTTTTAATGAGCTCGCTGAAATGCATTTTGTTTTGGGATGTGGAATGTTGGAAAGGCTGGTGTGTTTCATTTGAGAAGTGTAACACATAGTAAACTGAAGAGTACTTTCCTTATCTACAGTGAAACCTCTATCCATCGTTCCCGGAACTATTGTTTTCCCGGATGCATCGTCCGTTTTGTTCGGTCCCGGATACATCCCATATAAAATAATGTTACATTTTCCCGCTTCTATCATTCCTCAAACTATCGTTTTATCGCATCGATCGTTCAAAAATCTTAGTCCCGGCCCACAATTTTCCCGCAATGATCGTTTCTGAGAATTTAAAATGCTGGGTTTAGAGATAAATTAATACCGAAAGACGCATAATGTTTTTGGAATACACAGTAGCGGTAACCTGTTATGTCGCCCAACCAGCACATTCTTTTGGAATGAGGGTCAGCGGTGCAGGGGTGATAGTTGGAGAGAATGGCGGCGTGCATTGTCAGAAATTTTACAATTTTAATTAGGGTGCACTCATATTTCGTTCCAGCGATGCCAGATGGCATGTGCAGTGTGAATTTCTTCACAAATGCTTTTATTACAAGTACAAAGGAAAGGCTGGCCGCACTTTCATTCTTCTGGTTCATCTCGTTTCCGGCGGTTCAGGGTCTTCTACAGCTACGTTTCGTTGAGTTCGGCAGTAATAGTATTTCCATTCTTCCTGTTGTTGTTCGCGAAGAGGGTGGGAGTGGTGAGGAAGAGTAAGACGACGAATGCGAGCCCGAAGCTTTGCCGAGTTTTGCCGAAGCACACCCTGCATTGGCAAAAGTGAAGACGTTCTTTTATGCGCTTAATATTAGTGAACGTGACGAGGAAAACATTTTGAACGTGGAAAGTGCTCTGTTTGGTCTAAAATGTAAAGTTTTGACAAACCAGTTGTCCATTAAAGACTTTTTTGGTAAAAAGAAGTAACTTTGAAAGAGAAACATTGTTTTCTTTTAAATTTTTAATGCTTTCCCGCATCTATCGTTTTCCCGCATTCATCGTTTTTATTTCCCACCCCCGCCGAAAACGATGCATCGAGGTTTTACTGTATTTCCATGAAATTGTGTTTTGTTTCTGTAAACGGCCCCAGGGAAACTTACTTTAAGGACGAGCCTCGTATTATTATTGTTTATCACATTTAATGTTTTCATCTGCATTTGTGAACTCGTGTAAGAGAATTAGGCTTGTCTTCTTTTGATGTAAATACGTCTATACGGAAGGGTCATTCGGCAAAAACAGCGTTAGTTACGATGTGTAAGATGCAGCGCTGAGTCACCTTTAAATTTTCATTCCTCAGGAATGGTAAGAGTAAGGGTAATGTAACCAATATGTAAAATGATCAGTAAATAAGGATCTTTAAGAATCTATAATGTATTTTATTGTAATGATAATTGTTGGCAAAAACAGCGTTAGTTACGATGTGTAAGATGCAGCGCTGAGTCACCTTTAAATTTTCATTCCTCAGGAATGGTAAGAGTAAGGGTAATGTAACCAATATGTAAAATGATCAGTAAATAAGGATCTTTAAGAATCTATAATGTATTTTATTGTAATGATAATTGTTTATACGTTTATTATAATTTTAATGAACCAGTGTGTACAATTTTCAATGTATCTGGCGTTAAGCGCCCGCCTCTCGAAAACCGTAAGAGATGGATCGGACATATTGCATACAAAATACGTATTACCTCTTGAGGTTTCCATATCTGTTTTCAGATTTTACATATCAAAATGGTTTAGGATCTACAAACATTTATTTATAGAAATAAAGGCTCATCACACTTCATGCTACTGCTGCGTTTGCGTATTTACGTCAGATTCTCCGGAACCGTGGTTCAACTGTCAATTTTTGTTACACTGTTTCCATGCTTACGGTCACCCTCAGTAGGCTGTTTTAAGCTTGAAAACCAGAATGCGCCCTACCAGGCTCAAAAAAACTGCTTTGCGGATCACACATATTATTTTAATATACTTTGCTATGAAAATTAAAATATGTTAGAAAATAGCAAATAAAAGTTTACTAAAATCATCTTCTGCACTGTGTTCACAGCTAAAAGAAGCTGTGGATACATTCTAACATTTTGACAATACTACTTTACATCTTGGAAAACACTTTGTGACATATTATGTGAAAAATTTCATTTATTAATAGGCATAAGTTTCTGAATATAGATGTACTATCTGTCCTGGAAAAATATTGCTGCATAAATGTGAGACGTGCAGTGGCAAAAGATTGACCTTGCAGTAATGTTAGTTCTGTGGAAACAGGCTCTCAGCATTCCTTGTATTATGAGATGTACAGTAATAGATTTAACAAAGTGTGCTTTCTGATATCAGGTAATTATTTATCATACAGGTTATAGAATATAACCAGAAATGTATGCACGCTGCAGAAAACACATTTGAGTGCCATGGATGGAGAACCCCTGATTTAATCTGTTAACAAGATCCACTTGCTATTCTTCCTGGATCAGGAGTATATCGGTCTTACTCAGCAGTTTCTTACTGTTTGAATATGATTGTACCATCAATATTTCCCACTTCTTGCCTTAGTGTTTTTAAGGATCTAATAAATCCTGTCAGTTTGTCTTGAGTTTTATTCATTACAGTCAGTTCTTTATGCCTGTGCTGGCTAGACAGGTGAATGTGCAAAGGCTTGAAAACTAGATGCCATTTTGTGGCCTCCACAACCATTACAGTCCTGGCCATTAAAAAAAAGAGCCTATGTGGATACCAAACATGGGACACCTGTGTTGTTGGCATACATGATACCAACTGAACTATGGCAGTGAACTGAATTAAAGATTCTTTTTCAGGGCTTATAAAATAAGAACAAAGTTGAAAATAAATTTTATGTTAATAAGATAGTGGAGTGTTTACCTCTTATATTTTGGCCAAGAAATCAGAAGAGGATCCACTGCCATACTGCAAAAACTGGAGCCATTAGTGAGGGTAACAGTCAACCAGGTCCCCTTATGTGTGTATTAAACATGGAATTTATGTCAATAATATTGATGTTTGTAGCTGAAAGAGTTGATAGACATGCACAATAAGAGATCCTCCCTACTTGTCAGACATTTATAGTTTTGAGAGTGGTAATTATGTCCTAAGTTGCATTTTGTCTTTTTTAAGGAACTTTCAAGTCACATTTATTTTTATTTAAATATACTTGTTTTGTGTATTAATGTACATTTATATGCTTTATTTTTACAAACAAGCGTGTACTGTTAAACATGGTCAAGTTCCTTCATGTGATGTTATCTTTAGATGAGAAATATTTTTGCAAGCCTGAAGATGGCAAGAAACCTGAAGTGTAAAACAGTTACCTTTCCTTAAATGAATAGTACTCTTATTCTATTGTTGGTTAATGAGAAGGGCTATAATATGTTATTGTGTCAGTAGAGAGCCTATAAGAAGAGTGAGATATAATGAATTCTTAACATACTGCACTTTAAGGAATATCTTAAATTTTTGTGTATTTGTTACAGAATGGCACAGCAGTGGAAGGCCCAGCTGGTTCCAGGTTTTGTCAGTTTTTCCGGCGAGAGAGTCCTTTGAATCAACCTGAAAGTCGTCGCTCCTCACTTCATGATGAATTGCTTAATAATATTATTAATGGTAAGAACAGATGATCGTGCTTAGAATGAGTATATATGAAGTTTAAATATTGTTTTTATCTCTGGAGGAGGTCTGAAGTCTTTATTGAATTTACCATTTGATAATAAAAAGTCAGTAATTTAGCACATATGAAAATTTGGGTCTTGTAAGTTTGTATAAATTATGTAAGGTTTACCTTGTTCAGGGTTCTGTTTGAATTATATATTTTTCATAGAAATTTCAGACTTTTAGTAAGCTGCGCGTGAATTACAGTAAACTCCTGATTATCTGGGCTAGTGAAGGAGAGATGACACAAATAATGAACTGTTTCAGCTTTTTGTTATGAAAATATGAATTTTCCTGGTGACTGATGTCATCGCTGTCTTCAAACCCTCTATGACCCATGTAGTTTAGTAAAGTTACAACACATTGTATCACTATGCTCTGATTGATGTTCACTACTTTCTGTTTCTTCTTCACCCTTGTTCTTCCCACCATCTTCTTCTCCCTTTTGTTTCATGGCAGCGCTGACAGTGTCTGCGTGTTATGTGCTGAAAGCCCAGTTCATGCCTGTACCACTATCACATTCCTTTACAAATTCTATTAACTTCATTTTGTTACTATGCCATGTACAGTTTGTATCCATATCCAATAATCTTTGGATAATTTTGTTGATGATTTTCCATTTTCAAATTTTACAAATAACTTGGCCATTTGTTTTGCTGTCAATACTGTTTTCTTAGTTTTTCAGCCATTTTACTCATTATCTACAAGTGTTAAACTTTATCTTATGAGTGATCATTATGCTGGGCTTTGGATATTTCATTACTTATGTGTTTCAATTAAATCCGTATATGTTCAAGAATATAAATGCTGTACGTCCTTCTTCCTTAATGGATTAGGTCATGGCCTGTTCTGTTCTGTTCTGGTCTTTTGTTTTCCATCCATCATTTCCAGAGGTGTCTTATTGGTTGGTATTCCATGATTTGTTTTGGTATTCTTTCCTCTGGCATTTGTTCTGTTTGTGATTTACATTTTTTTCTATATTTTATTATTTTCTGTTACTGATTCTATTCCCAATTCATTTGTAATGTCTTCATTTCTGAAATCTTGTCTTGTACATCTATCGACTGACCTTAGGAAACACATTTCAGCTTCTAGTAATTTGCTTATATCTTGAAATTGTCCACGCCTCACTGCCATACAGTCAGACACAGAATGCCATAATGGAATAAAATCTTACCTGTGGATGTCTCATTTTTCCTTTTAGTGCTGTACTTAGGTTAATAATCACTTCTACCTAACTGATGCATGGTGCATTAGTAGAGCATAGTGGAATTGACTGTAAGACATTAATATTTGAAAGAGACCAAGCATATGTAGCTTCCCTTGTTTCCACCACCTTGACCATTGGTACAGCCCCTTTTTTACCTTGCCGCTGTAAAACACTGAAAAAAGATTACTATTTGACCTGTAGACTTCCCTCCCAAAGGTGGACAGTATGATGTAGAAAGAGAATGGAAGTGTAGTTTAGCATTGGCTGTAGGTATTTTATTTTGACGTAAATACATCTATAAGGAAGGGTCATTTGGCAAAAAAGTGTAACAAAAAAGATCCGATAACAATGGTTACCTAGGGAACGTCGTCTGTTTACTCGGCATTATTGTTACCTATGAAACTTCATCTGTTTACTCAACATTATTGTTACCTAAGAAACGTTATTTGTTTACTTGGCATTGTTTTGTTACCTAAGAAACGTTACTTGGCATTTTGTTACATTACTTCCGTTATTGTGGCAAGAGCTGAGCTGTGATTCGCTTGTAGAAGAAGTGCATTGTGGAGTAGATAATTTTGTGCTGGTAAAAACGTTTTACAATATCACAAGTACTAATCTTATATAAGAATTATTAAGTAATCTGTTGTTGCGTTAGTTTGTTGCATCATATTATGTACAAGGTGGATGACATTGATGCTAAAAGACTCCATAAAGCAGAAAACGTAAAAAATAGAAGTATTAGATAATGAACCTAAAGTTCCCAAAAAAATACCAAAAACTAATGCTAAACCGCTTCAGATAATCTTAATGGGGCCTGCTGGATGTGGTAAAACGTTTACTTTAAAATTACTAATGGAAACATATAATAGGTTTTGCGAGCAACACAACGTTTTAAAAAACGCATATGTTGCATGTGCATCCACAGGAAAGGCTGCAGTTGCTGTAGGTGGTACTACAGTTCACTCTGCGTTTAGAATTGCCATGTCAAGAAAGCAAGGGGGACTTAGTAGGGAGGCGTTGCAAATGTACAGATCGGCATTTCATAACGTTGAAATGTTGTTCGTGGACGAAGTAAGCATGATTAGTGCTGATATTTTACACACTATAAATGCGAGATTACAGACAATATGTAATGAATATGATAAACCATTTGGGGAAATGAATGTAATATTTTGTGGAGATCTTCGACAATTACCACCTGTAAATGCGAAGGCCATATACAAGCCTCACAAAAATTCCTTGGCTGGTGCTAATCTGCGGAAATCGCTGTTGTTTTTGACGTAAATACGTCTATAAGGTAGGGTCATTCGGCAAAAAAGTGTAACGAAAAAGGGAAACGAAAAAGTTACAGGAAAATCTGTAAGATCCGATAACAATGGTTACCTAGGGAACGTTGTGTTTACTCGGCATTATTGTTACCTAGGAAACGTCATCTGTTTACTCGGCATTATTGTTACCTAGGAAACGTCATCTGTTTACTCAGCATTGTTGTTACCTAGGAAATGTTACATTACATTACATTATATTTCATTACATTACAATACATTACTTTACATTACATTCATCTACCACAGACCCATCTTAAGCGTAACTAATTCAAGTTAAATAGGCAATGTCTTAATCAAACTTCACTCAATTGTAAAGCATGTATAAAGGAAATATTTAGAATAAAGCCAATATATAAACTTCCTTTCCATATAGACGTATTTACGTCAAATTCTCCAGAACCGTGGTTCCACTGTCACTTTTTATTTGACCAAGTATTTGAGATTTAAATAATATTTATTATTGATTTCAGATATTACAGAGCCAAACATTGTGATTCCACCCTTGAGTGAGTCAGATACATACTTTGCACCAATTTCTCCAGCAGCAAATACAGCAACATCTACGGTATCAGTATCTGCAGTTAATAGCAGTGTGAGCAGCAGTGTGATGAACTCTGGAAATAGTAGCAGTAATACTGGAGGGACTGGCAGTAGTGGTTCAATGTGCATGAAGCCCTCTTTATTGCTGGAGATGTTACAGAGAGGTGGCCAAAATCAAGCAGGTCAGGGTGATGCAGCATTGCCTCCCATTATCAAAACATCCAGTATCAGGGACTTGGGTAAGCAGCTGCTAATTCAATTATGTCCATTAAGCTGGATCATAACTTCAGATTTTACAGTTTAAGTTATGAATAAGATAAAAATAGTGCAGCAACATTTCTGGAATTTACCATTCCCCTTACTATAATCACATATCTTCTGCTGGTTAAAAAGTTTTTCTATTATTGATTAATAAATTCTCTTTGAGAAGGGACAGTAATTTGTTGGTAAAATCTATTGCAACTTTAACAGTGGCTGTTTGCCATAACTGCAGAAAGATGTTAATAAGAATAACATCATAAATGGTACAGCACTTCTTTAAAATGTGTTCAGTCTGTGTTCGATCTGGTCATTAGGTTTTTTGTGAAGAAAAGAGTTGCAGGGGTTGATCTAGATGAATTATGCGTGTCATAAGAAGGCACTGG